TTTGCTTACTTGCTAGGTTACCTCTGATACAAAGGAGGGTCCATTACCACTTTTCATGGGGGAACAGAGCCTATGAACATCTTGGTGACCCGTGGGATCATTGAGTCCAACTCCTTGGAAAAGAAGTTCACCAGGTCCCCACTGGGAGGGCATCTGCTTGAAAAAGCTCAGGGGTGACTGCAGGACATTGTGCAGAAGGTCCAGGTGCAGATGGTGACTGGCAAAGATCCTCCCCAGTGGACACCACCATGGAGTGGCCGAACGCGATGATATCTTGTGAAATGCCCAGGCTCCGTGGAGTGTGCTCCTGGGTCCTGTCGACAATGGGGCCATCGGTCCAGAGACTGAGCCAATGGTTAGAAGCCAGGGCAGCAGCCTGTCTGAGCCTTGTCTGCCTCCATCAGCTTCCAGGTCTCTTCCTTCTTGGCCCTGGTTTTCTGAAGCTCGGCCACGCTGCTGTGGTGCCTGCTGACGTCCCCGCTGGAGGAGGAGGAGCTGCTGAGCTGTCTCTGCAGCTGCCTGCCCATGGCGTCCATTACCGGCATGTCATTCTCCATCTGCTTGGCCTCTTTCCCTGGACTGCTGATGCCCATTATCCCACCATCCCCTGCGGCCTGTCCCTGCTCTGTGCTGGCATGGGCATGCAATGAATCAGCAAAGGCCCTGCCCTGGGCCATCAGTTCCTGGTAGGAGCCATCTCAGAGTGAACTCCTGTAGAAGGATTCTGGTAACTGCAGATGCTCTCTCTTTGGGGGTAGGATAAGCCTCTACCCAGCCTGAAAAGGGATCTACTAATACAAGTTTAGGCATCTGAGTGAAATTGCCTGTCACTTAGAGGGTGGGTCCCCACATGTCGGGCTCCCTGTGTAGCAGGTTGTGCCTCTGTCTCTGGACCATTTCAAGCACACACAAATAGTCTGCTGCAACCAGGGTCCTCTCAAATGAGGTCCCACCAAATCTGTCAAGGCATCATGCCCCCCATGTGTGCATTCATGAGGGACCCCCCGAGAGGCCAAACCAAGGCCTCAGGCAGGAGAACAAGTCCATGAGAATTCTGTCTCCATTTAGCTGTGTCATCCCAATGTCAGAGCCCCAGTCTTTAGTTTTAAAGCGATCTACATCTAGCTGGGGGATCAAGACCCCAAGGCCTTATTTCCTGCTGTCAGCAGCCCCTTTCCTTCCAAATGGCACCGTGAGCACGCACAATCATAAAAGCATATTTAGTTACCTTTTCTCCTCTGGATAACTGAAGCGTTCTGGTTAAAGCTGTCAGCTCAGCTTTCTGGGCTGAAGTCCCAGGTGGCGGTGGCCCTGCCGTGATCACCGCATATCCAGCTCTTTGCTGTCCGTAAAGCTGCTCCCATCGGTGAAAAAAATCCCAATTTGGCTCTGGCATTGGCTGATCTGATAGATCCATCCTGATAGAATCCACAGACTCCAGAACCTCTAAATCGGGCGTCCTCAAACTACGGCCCGCCGGCTACACACCGCCTGCCTAGGACCTTTATCCGGCCCGCTGGGTGTTTTTGCCACCACTGCCTGTCCTGCTTAGCAGCCGACTTGTCCCAGGCTCCATGAGCACGAGCTGGAGCGTGGTTGAGCTCATGGTGTCTTCCCATGGATCGCCCCAGCTGTGGCCGGTGCCTGCACCTCCCTGCCATGTCATGTGAGTGCAGCGGGTGGGGGTGGGCGGGGGTGGGCACTCCCTCCCCACCCAGCTGTGGCAGTGGGCTGTGCTCGCTGGTCCCTGCTCTTGCTGGGTCTTCCCCCAGGCTGCACTTGCCCCCGACCCAGAACTGGTGCAGAACAGGGCAATTCAAGTGTTTAATTAAAACATAGTATCACAAAGGCCAGGGGCAGATAGGGCAATGGGTAAAGGGCTCATAAGATTCAACCTGATTGGCTGGGCGTGGTGGCTCACGCCTGTAATCCTAGCACTCTGGGAGGCCGAGGCGGGGGGATTGCTCAAGGTCAGGAATTCAAAACCAGCCTGAGCGAGACCCCGTCTCTACCATAAAAATAGAAAGAAATTAATTGGCCAACTAATATATATAATATAAAAATCAGCCGGGCATGGTGGCACATGCCTGTAGTCCCAGCTACTCCGGAGGCTGAGGCAGGAGGATCGCTTGAGCCCAGGAGTTTGAGGTTGCTGTGAGCTAGGGTGACACCACGGCACTCACTCTAGCCTAAGCAAGAAAGCCAGACTCTGTCTCAAAAAAAAAAAAAAAAAAAGATTCAACCTGATTAATCCCTCCTCACTTCTATCATCTATCAGCCTCTTTATTATGTAATTGCATGAAAGATTATACATATGGGATCTCGTCCCATTTACCTGACCTTTTACAAAATAATTTCAGTTGTGAGACAGTATAATAATTTAAGGTTTCGTTCAACAGCCACTTCTCACACTCCAACATGTACATTGGATTACAATAACACCATTCTCTTTTAGACACAGACTTATAGCTATAAATTGGCCATTCAGCCAAGATTCTCCCCAAGGGGTTTCAGATGGAGCCTCCTTATGCTGCAACAAAACTCACAAACCACAAACATGGACAGTAACGTGAATCCCCAACACAAAGTGCCAAGGCCTGCCAAGTGGGCAGCATCCAAGTGGGAACCAAATTCTCAAATGAGAACCAACATCTCCCAATCCCTGCCCCCCCCCCGTTCCCTAGGAATTGTACAAATGGGCTCCAAATAGCAAACCAGATTCCTTAGTTCCACTCAACCTAGTGACTTCCACCCTAAATGGCACCTCCAAAGAAATCCAACAGGAAGGTCTGAAAACCTTCCCCAAATGGATGGAACCAAGGGTCTTGGTGTCCATGCTGGGGAACTTACTAGACAAGTGGTTGAGGCTGTTGTGCTGCTTCCCAAATCTGTTTCCTTTTTCTCAACAAGTTTCAAGTTGATTGGAGCTGCAACTAATTTGGGGAGAAAGAGACAGGAGATACCTGGAGCAAAAACAAGCTCCAGCAGCAGCTGGGGTCATTCCTTACTCTCTCACCTTGAAAAGAAGTTGCTTCTACCAGCAAAGACCCACGGCTTGACCCAGGGTTGCTGCCCACTGCTTCTACCACAGCAGTCGTGGGGTGCCGTTCCACTGGGGCATTGATGGGCCCACCCAGGGGCACCAAATTCTGTTACCGAAAGTTCAGCACTTGCCCCCAAGGCTGCATCAGAAGGACGAGGACAAGTGGTTTGAGGAGAAGGAAAGGGAGGTTTATTAATTTGATAGCAAGTGAGGAGGATGGAGACTCCTATCTAAAAGTGCCATTGTTCTATTTATAAGCAGAAATACAGAGCTTTTAAAGGGTGAGGTTCAGCTTCAGAGTATTGTTGTTTAACTACAGTTGATGGCTGTGATGGACCCCGTCTCTGGCAAAGACAATCTCGTGACTTCTGACTGGACAGTTTCGTTGAGTCATCTCCTGTGGTACAAAGAACAAAGAACACTCCCCTGCCCTTCCTGACCACTGTCCTCAGGCAGGGATGCAGGTTTTAATTCTCAAAAAGAGTGGGGGAGGTTTTAAAGAGACCTCTTGGAATACATTTTGCCCTTTTTCGGGCCACTCCCTCTGTTACAAAGTCACACTTCTGAGCCAGATAGTCCTGGTCTCCTGGTTCCAGCAAGTGCACCTCTGGCCTCCTGGACCCCTTGCTAAGTGTCCTGGTACAGTCTCATTCAGACAGGATCAGACTAAACTCATCAGACTTCACTATCTAGATTCTAGAATAAGGGTATTTGATCATTTTGCCTTATAGAAAATAAATGAACCCTTACCAAACAATCTGTGCCTAAGTTTTCTATAACATTCCTCAATTTGGGATGAGGACCAACTTCCCAGGGTTGATCTCATTGAGTTCAGCCCTTCAGGAGCTCTCAAAACAAACTCTGTTTCACATTACTCTGGAAATAAAGTCACGACTCCCTAAAAGAATTTACGAGAACCTTTACATTTTAGCATCTGCTTTGTTCTCTAGCCTTTTAGCCATACAGAACTACTCACTCACCTCTGAAACTAATGATCTCTTTGGAGAACAACTTGTTTCTGCTGATTCGCTTTTACTGCCCCTTCCCCTTCCTTGCGCATGCGAAACTCTGGGCCATTCATTGCACCGTGGAGCACAGAGGCTAGGAGCCAAAGGCAACCTGGTTTCATAGCCAGGCTCTGCCGTATACAATCCATATTAGGTTTGGGCAGATTATCTCATTTGTATGGCTCTATTTTCTATAAACTGAGGGTAAATTGCAGCACCCACCTTAAGGGGTTGTTAAAGTGTTCATTAGCTAATTTAGGGAATACACGTAAATCATGCAGAATTGTGTTTGGCTCAGTAAGTGCTAGCTAATATTATTATGATTCAGGTTTTAGCGTGGCTGCCACAGTCCCTTGGTCCTTTCAGTCCTGGTTTAGTGTCCCTACATGTGCCCTACTTATACCCTGTTCTTTTCCTATTGTACCACTCATCTGGGGCAGAAGTCTATGCCGAGTAAGCTAGAGCAGTCCCGTTTGTAGGTATGAAATACTGTCACCCATAGAGTAATTGCACTTAATCTCTCTTTCATATTCTCCTGCATTGAATGCTCCAGTCACTTAAAGAATACCCCTTACATTCCCAAACCACTACCCCTCGAAGATACCACATAAAAAGTTTAGTTTTCAAAGGGGGAAAAGATGAAATCAATAAGCTTGTGGAATATCTCATTCTTCCCCTATTGGGCCCACGGAACTGTTCACCTGCTGATTCACTGCAGTGAGTCCGGGAAGCTGTTTCATTTCTTTGGCAAATGAAATATATATATAAATATTTTTTTTTTACCAAGTCTTTCTATACAAAAAGGATAGGAGTCTGGCTTGTGGAGTCCGTTGTGGTGGAATTGTGCCTCTGTGCAGCGTGGATCTGTTTCTAGCACAGCGACACACTCGCGACAGGAACGCACGACTCGCCACGCAGCTTCTACTCTTGCTTCCGATACCATCGTCCATATGCTAGAAATGCCACAAGATGCACAAAATATTGTTCGATTAGCAGCTATGATCATCTGGTGCTGGCAATTCACTGTTTTTCAGGCCTTGGGCTTCCTGGGGGTCCAGGGTACGAGAGGCTTGACTGCCTGCCTGAACACACAACAGAAACACAGGAGAACAACGAAGCACTCAGACACTTTTCCAGATGTTTTCAGAGATTGGGGAGTGAGGTTTTGTGCCCACCAAACATCTGGGAAGATTTTTCATTTTCCATCCACATGTTTCTATGCACAGCCCCAATTTCTTTTAATCTCACTTTGTCTCCTTGGCAACAAAACAGCTGATCCATTTAGTAACCGCTCTTCTCTTCCTCTCACTAAGTCTTTCATTCAGTCTTACTCTGTACTCCCAAGCCCCTGCCTGTTCCATTTAATTGTTCACGCTTGAAACAGTTCTGATATTGCAGTCCACATGTAAGGGAGCACAAAAGTACAAAATGAATATATCGTAGTATAGCAGTAAATTGGCATTTTAATCTCATTAGCCGTAACTTCAGGGATCTTTAATTTCGGAGACAAAGATTCCATCATAACGAGCTTCTGAGAAATTTTCAAGTGTCTTTAAGTTAATACTCAATATAGAAGGTTTATTCTTCTAACTAAATCCAGGCAAATCAATAGAACTCTCTTCAGTGACCACAACTGTATTAGACATATGTATATCCACCCATACATTTATCACACATTCGTTCAGACCTACTATATGCCAGGCACTGTGCTAAGTACAGGAGATACATTATTAACAAATGCATTGGTACGGACTTGGAGGAAATATGGAAACAGAAAGCTCCCATATACCATTGCCATAGGCTGAATCGTGTCCCCGCAAAAGTCATGTATTGAACTCCTAACCCCAATACCTCAAAATGTGACTGTATTTGGAGAGAGGATCTTTAATGAGGTTATTAAATTAAAATGAGGTCGTTAGGGCAAGCCTTAATCTGACTGGTGTCCTTATAAGGTGAAAGATTTTGGACATGCAAAGAGACGCCAGGGACATGTGTGCACAGAAGGACAATCCTCTGCAAGCCAGAGAGGGAGGCTTCAGAAGAAAGAAAACCTGCTGGCACCTTGATCCTGGACTTCCAGCCTCCAGAACCGTGAGAAAACCAAATTCTGTTGTTTAAGTCACCCAGCCTTTTGTCACAGCAGCCTTAGCAAACGAATACAACTGTTGATAAGTACGTGGTCCTATGTGAATATCGAGAAAGGGAACTAGACCTAGTTGGAGTTGGAGATAGGATTTTAAGAGAGACAGGAAAATGTAGTACCTCAGCTAAACGTTACGAGATATTTTTATAAGCAGCATGTACATTCTATAAAGGCGTGTTCTATCAGCCGTTCAGCATAGCAGAATACATCCACATTGAATGAGATTCCAACAGTAGGTGCATTTCCAGCATTTTTGTGGGCCATTGCTACTAATGCATAAAAACAAAAATATCTCGATTAGTTATTTTCAATCTTTTTAAAGAAATATCCAACCTTGCTTTTAACTGATGCACATATAGCCTGAACGTAGAAAATGGGTTTTACGTTGCTGCCATAGAAGCGAGTATTGGAACCTAAGGCTGACCCACTTAGCCTTACTGCCTAAAATAATTCATGGGGTATGTTTAGTTAGTCCAAGGGTATAAGGAAAGTTATTTATCTAGATAGCACAGGGTGGAAAACTCTCCATGCCAAATTTGGAACTAGGCTCAATTTTAGACAGAGATTGAAACTTCCTTCCAAAAAGCAGAAAAGCCCTCATGTCAGAAGGCACCTTTCCATGGATGTTAGGCATAGAGTAGGACGGTGTGGACCCGCCTGGCCAGGGCTGTAGACATGACTTAGAACAAAGAAATAAAAGGACAAGAGGGAGAAAAGAGTTTTTTACTGCCACCTTTGGGCCAAGGGTTTCAACAATACCATTTTCACTGCTGGGTTTTGCACTAGAATATTTTCATAGAAGAGTGAGTTTTGAGTAAAGCTTGAAAGAAGAAAGACACCACATCTCTCAGAAAGAAGTAGAGTGGGCATTCTAGTCAGGGGAAATGAGTAAAATGATTAAGGATAGTTTAAGGGTGTTAAACAATGGATTGGGATATAAATTAGTTTGGAGGTCAAATGTATGTAGATCTTTAAAAGGAGACATAGACTTCTGAGTTAAATAAGGAATCAGTTAGTAGAGACCCTCAAAAGCCTTACTGAGGATTTTTCATATTAGTCCTAGGTGTTGGCTATTTCCCTAGATTTCTGGACCTTGGGCATTTTTTTTTGAGCTATAGATTGTGGTTTTCCTTCTCTGGTTGTCTGGTTTTGCACTGATCTTTACATTTTGTATATACAGTGACTCCAGATGGCCTATTAACTCTGATGTTAAGTCTCCTTATAAGCTTTGGTCATGTGTTCATGTGCCTATTCTAATTTTTTTTTTATTTCGGCATATTATGGGGATATAGATTTTAAGGTTTCAATAAATGCTCTTTCCCCCAGTCCCCCCACAAGTCTGAGTTTCCAGCATGACCATCCCCCAGATGGTGCACATCTCCCTTATTATGTATGTATATGCCCGCCCCCCTCCCCCTCTCATGGCAGTTAATGTGTTAAATTAGAATAGGCAGGGAGAAGTGCCTATTCTAATTTAACGCGTTAACTGCCACGAGAGTTGTATGCTGGGTTAATTGATTGGGGCAAAACACCCAGCTAGCAATAAAGAACGCGTATTTGCCTTGACTTTGCGTATCTCCATGTAAATGGAGTGAGTGGGCGCTAGGCAGTTGGTTGAGATCTTGGTTGCCGTCGTAGGATGCTGATACCTTCCCTACATCGCTAGCCAGTATCCCACAGGTTCCGAGAACGATTGACAGACACGTGCCAACAGAAGGGCATGCTGCCACGGAGCGCGGGCGATGGGAAAGGACGGGGACCCCAGAGAAGGCAGCTGAGGCGGTGACGCCAAGCGAGGGCCGGGCGGCGGGGGCGGGGAGGGGGAGCTCGTCCAGAAACCGCTGTGAGGAGCTTCCAAATGCCCAGGCCGTTCCTCGGAGAGCAGAAAATTTGAAACAGAGTCTTGGCAGAGCTCGGAGATTGGGAAACTAAGAGCGCTAGACCAGCCGCGCTCCTGCCGCCCCAGCCCTGCGGGGCTTTCTGCCTCGGAGGCCGTCGCCCCAGAGAGCCGGCTTGTCCCCTCCGAGGCCCCCGGAGCGCAGGCCGGCTTGTCCCCTCCGAGGCCCCCGGAGCGCAGGCCGGCTTGTCCCCTCCGAGGCCCCCAGAGAGCCGGCGGGCTTCTCCCTCGGAGCCCCCGGAGCGCCGGCCGGCTTGTCCCCTCCGAGGCCCCCGGAGCGCAGGCCGGCTTGTCCCCTCCGAGGCCCCCGGAGCGCAGGCCGGCTTGTCCCCTCCGAGGCCCCCGAGCGCCGTGGCCGTTCAGCGGGACATGGAGGTCACTGGGCATTGGGACGCGTGCGTTGGACGCCTGGGGACGCCCGCCGGCGCGTCCCGGCCGCGCCCGCGGAGCTGGGTCAGGCCTGGCCAGCGGGACGGCAGGCCCGGTCCCCACTCGCGGAGCCGTTCTGTCCAGCAGCGGGGCCGGAGCGCGGGGAGGTCGTCTCCACCCCGCCGTGGGACTCAGAGGTGGAGGGAACTGGAAACACCGGGACGCTGGGGGCCCGCGAACCAAGGGGGTGGGAGCGAAGGGTCGCCACGCGCACGGGCAGCCCCCAGCACCAGAGCATCCGCGGGAGCTCAGGACTCTCTGGTCGCCCCACCGGTCCCTGCAGGACGACTGGAGAGCGACTGTCCCATTGGGCCAACGTGCACCATTTCCATCAGGAGCCCCGCGGGTGGCTAACGCCCAGGCTGCTCCCTGGGCAGAGCCAAACACCGCCAGCCCGGCCGGCCGCAGGCCCCTTGTTACTCTGCGAAACCAAGTGAAAAGGAACATAGTGTTGAAGGGGAAAAGGTCTCAGCAAAAGAGGGGAATGGGGGCAGAGCCAGCTCTTCCAGTCTTTCCTTACAAACCATGAGTAGGGAGTTGGGGTGTTGATTGAATAAATGTGAAGCCACGGGCATTGGTTTTGTTTGTTTGTTGGTTGGTTGGTTGGTTTTTGTTTTAAGGGAGCTGATACAGTCAGTCATCTTCCCTTCCACGCCTCTTCCTTCCCGGATCCTCTTCCCTGTCCCCCACCAACACCAAGGTGACTCTTATTCCCCACACACCCAGGGCAAGAGAAACACAGTCCCCGGGCAACCCCACTCTTTCACTAGTAACTGTTTTCTCTCTGCTGCCTACATAGGCCCTGGCACAGGATACGAAATGATACTATGGTAATGACAGCTAACACAGAGCACCGTGTTAATGGCTTAGCAGGAAATGCGCCTTTTGACTCTCAAGTAAAAGCAGGTATTATTAACAGCCCCATTTTAAAGAGGGGGAAACAGAAGTTTAGCAAGATTCAGAGAGGTTAATATGCCTCAGATTATGATAGTAGGAAGTGGAGCTAGCTGTGAATTCAGATTACCTGACTCCTATTTTCTACAATTTAGAAATGGTTTTTATCTTCCCAAGTTGATCTATAGAATTGAATGCAATCTCTATTAAAATCCCACAGGATCTTTTGCAGAAATTGATAGATGATCCTAAAACTTATGTGGAAATGTAAGAGACCTACTATGGCCAAAGTAATCTTGAAGGAAAAAGTTAGAGGACTTATACTTCCTGTTTATAAAACTTACTCCACAACTACAGTAACCAATTTATTATCAATTAATTTTTCACAAAGGTGCCAAGGCAATTCAACGGGAAAGGTGGCATTCTGGGATAACTGGATCGGCATAGGCAATATGATGAATTTTGATCCTTACTTTACATTATATAAAAAATTAAATCAAAACATACCATAAATTTACATGTAAGAGCTTTCTTGAAAACTTTTGGAAGAAAACATAGAAAATCTTTTTGATCTTGAGTTAGACAAAGATTTCTTAGCTAGAACAGCATATGCACAATCTATTAAGGAAAAAAATGATAAATTGGACTTAAAGTTAAAATTTTTGCACTTTGAAAGATGCCATTAAAAAAATGGAAAGACCTTGGCAATTAATTTACGTAACCTCAATTGCCTGATTGATAAAACATTGTGAAGGTGAATGTTTGTAAATCACTTAACAAACCATGTAAGCCTTCAATAAATTTCTGTTTTCCTCTTCACAAAAAAAAAAGCAAGAAAGAAAGGAAATGAAAAGATCAGCCCTAGACTAGGAAAAAAATATTTGCAAATCATATATAGATAAAGAACTCATATCTAGAACATATAAAGAACTCTTAACAAAACAATTTCAAAAGTTAAATAACCCAGTTTAAAATGGGCAAATTATTATCTTCACCAAAGAAGATATCCAAATGGCCAATAGCACATGAAAAGATATTCAACATCATTAGTCACTAGGGAAATGCAAATTAAAATGAGGTACCATAATATACTAGAATAGCTATAACCAAAAAGAGAGACAATATATGTTGGTGAGCATATGGAGAAACTGGAACCCTCATATGTGTGCATTACTGATGAGAATATGAATGGTGCAGCCACTTTGAAAAACAGTTTCGCAATTACAAATTTAAATATAAATTTACCAAAGGGCTCAGCAATTTTACTCCTAGGTAGCTATGAAAGAGAAATGTCTACACAAAAACTTACATGTGAATTTTTGTAGCAATGTTATTCACAAAAGCCAACAACTGGAAAAAAACTCAAATGTCTGTCAACTAAGGAATGGATAAATAAAAGTGGTATAGCCACACATTGGAACAATATTCAGCAATAAAAAGAAGTGAAATACTGATAATTTGAATAAATCTCAAGAACATTATGCTAAATGGAAATAGACACAAAAGAGCGAATATTGTTTGATTCCATTTATATAAAAAGTTCAGTAAAGGAAAATCTATAGAGATGGAAAATAGATTAGGGGTTATCTAGGATTGGAAATGAAATCAAGGAACAACTGCAAATGGACATGAGGGATCTTTTTAGAGGGATGGAAATATTCTAAAATTACACTGTGATGATAGTTGTACAACTCTGTAAATTTACTGAAATCATTGAGTTTTACACTTAAAACTGTGGGTAAAATACATGGCTTTTCAATTATACAGCCAATAAAATCTGTTAAAAAAAAAGAAAAGAAATATAGTTTCCAAATGGATAAATAAATAAGTCTTCAGGCTTTTAGCTTTTGCTTGCTTTTTTGGTCCATCATTCATTTCTTGGTTTTACTTGTTTTTCGTGCTAGCCTAGAATCCATCACCCATTTCTTTGGACACGACTATCAGTAGCATCATCAACTCCACCGTGGCGACTTCCCTGCACTTAACCTACTCTGCAAAGCTTGGATCATGGACAAATTAAACTCTACATTCTCCATTTCAACTGGTGACGTACACTTGCCCATGCTGCTGTCAGAAAACATTCAAGAGACATGATCTCTATTATGCTCTTAGCAACACTTGCCAGTTTTAGCATAGATGCCTTGGGAAGTCTTTTTCTGATTGTTTTTAGCTGCTGTTTCACAGCTTGACTCTTCTCAAGCCCTCTATTTCAATTTGCTACCTCTGTTTTCACATCTATTTTCACAGAAAAAATAGAGGCTATCTAGTGTGAACTCCCTGAACATCTTGTCTTCATAATGACAAAGAGACATTCATTTGTAACACCATTGCTGTTCCACACATCCTAACTTGAGTGAGATAAGAGTTCCTTCTCTCTCAAATCCTATAAATTCCTAACTCTGCATCAACATATTTACACATTCTTTTGTTTGTTTGCATGGTTTTCCATGCAGGGCAGAGGGCATAGCTGCATACTGGGAGAGTCACACAAATGAATGCATTGGAGCCAGAACTGTGTATGGTTTTATGATGTCATATGAACTACTATGGAATACTACTAAGTAATCCTTTAAATACTTCTAATTCACTCTATCTCCTATTTTTCATGAGAGCAGTCATAAAAATTTACCCCCATCCTTACAACTCTTGAACCCTAAGCAGATGGTTTTGTTTCTCTCTCACTCGGAAACTTACCGAGCACTTCACCCATTCCGACATTCTTTCTGCCATTCACTCCTGGACCTGAGTTGTGTTCCCTCAAAATTCGTATGTTGAAGCCCTACCTCCTAATGTGACGGTGTTTTGAGATAGGACTGTTGAGGAGGTAGTTAAGGTTAAATGAGATCGTAAGTGTGGTCCCTAATTCAACAAGACTGGCACCCTTGTGGAAGAGGAAGGGACACTGGGGTGTAGATGCACAGAGGAAAGACCGAGTGAGGACACTGCAAGAAGGTGGCCATGTGCAAGCCAGTGACAGGGACTGCAGGAGACACCAAACCTGTTGACACCTTCATCTCTGACTTCCAACCTCCAGAACTGTGAAAAATACATTTTACTGTGTAGGCCACCCAGTCTGTGCTATTAGTCGTGGCAGCTCTGGAAGACCAAGACGACCCTTGTTCATCTGTAATACTCTCGACTCAGCTTTGGAGTAGACTCTTTCCACGTCTTCCAGAACCTTGCTCTACCAATTTTTCTCTTTCCTTTGTTTTTAATCACCCTATAGGTTTTGGCTCTTTCTCATGTTCAAGACAAAATAGAATAGTTCCAGTGTTTCCTCTGTCATTAGGTATCTCCCCTTTCTTTCACAGCTCTTGGAAGAAGAAAACCCTTCTCATTCTTTCCGGAACCTTCCTCCAATTCTTGTAGTGTCTTGTGCAGAGATCCCTAGTTGTCTTTTCTTTTTCATAATAACAGAGCATGGAACTCAACCAAAACATTATTTTTCTTTGCTTCCCATGTAGCTGTGAAGTTCTGGCCCATGAGATATAAGTGAAATGTTGTGTGGGAACTTCTGAGACGTTTTCTTAAAGGGGAGGTGTGTGTTTTCCCAGTTTCTCCTTATTGTCTGAAATGTGAACTCTTACCTGCTTTTCCCAGTGGATTTAGGACTACATTTCCCTATCTACCCATTGCAGTTTGTACAGACTTTTATTATAATTATCATAATGGATTATAAATATAATTGTTTATTTTTACGTACGCATTCTCACTGGGCTATAAGCATAATATCTTTTTGTTTTTGCATTCTCATGTTTCTAAGTCAGCCCAGAACATAGTAAGCATTCAATATATACTTTCTCAATGAACAAATAAATATATGAACGATTGACTCTATGGATAGCTTCGATCATTATAAACCTTAGGCTCCTTTTTATCTAAATTCAGCCTATCAATTAGTCAGTAATCATCCTTGTACTTGGTGTGTGGGTATACGGTAGTTATACTGTTCTGTGCTAAGTCAAGTGCAGGATAATCAATGAATATGATTCAAAGCCGTTTCTGCCTAGGAGACGAGCAAATGCTTGTGCCAAGCAACCACCGTACAAAGTAGAGGGTGAGAGGTGTCGAAGGAGAAGCACGAAGAAAGACTGAGTTCAGAGGTGAAAGTGAGGTCTTTTGTTTAAAGGATCAGGGAAGACTCTATGGAGGATCTGGCGTTAAGCAGGGCTTGGAGGCGGGCGAGCACTGAGCATGTGGAATTGGGAAGGAGAGCGTGCCAATAGGCAAAAATACAAGGAAGACTAGAGTATGGAGAGAGTGTGGTGCCATCGCATGGACACCAGGGCACATATCAAAGGGGTGTTATAATATAAGCATCGCAAAGGTGAGCTAGGGTCCAGTTGTGGGGAAATCTGGGGTCACCTCTAATAATGGGAAGAGCCACCGCAGGTGACCTTTTGTGAAGGCTAGGATGTCTCAATTCTTGAGGCCTTTCAGGTAAACAGCTAATTGGTTAGGAAGCTTTCTCTTTGACTTTAGCTGACCCAACCACGACTGTAAAACCTCAAGCTTCTGCATCTGGAAGGTGAAGTACTGAATTTTGCTAGTGGCATCAAATTTCATTCTTTCAGCTTCCTCAGCTAGTGTTAATGAAATGTCAGGTCACACCCTGAGTAGTCATAGCTGAATTCCAGTTGATGATTTCCAAGGATGAATGATATCTTCAATTACACCAATCGCCAGAGCTGACGTCCCACTGCACCGGGAGGCGTGAGGGCGCTCGGTCAGAGCACCAGCCTGAGCCGCTGCGGTTCACGTCTACACTGCGGTTATGACGCTTGGCGGTAAGCAGGCGTTTCTGAAGGGGCTGAGAGGAATTTCCTTATTCAGATTATTGGCAAGTGTTGTGGTTTTGAAGTCAGGTGAACTTGGGTCCAAATCCTGACTCTAATATCTCCTATCAGTGGTAGGACTTTGCAGCAAGTTATTTCATCTCTCTGAGATACAACTGCCTCCTCTGTGAAATGCTGGATTATAATTTTTAGTTTATGGTGTTGTGCATTGCAGTGTTTTTCAAACTACCTGTGGCAAATTTTTTTTAACCCTTTGCACTCGGTTGCTTTTTTTCTCTTGCTGCTACCGATGCTTACCATGTCGAGTCACACTCGACATCCGGGTGCAAAGGGTTAAGTTCCAATCCATTGCAGATTCAACTGGTTTTTTTTTTAAGTTCCAATCTATAGCAGATGGTTACTTTTGTAAAACACAATAAAAATGAATTACTAGAAAATAAAATGAAAAATACATATAAAATACAAGCTTCACTAAAAACATTTTAGTTGTTTTTATTGCATTTCACAGACACAAGTTTGGTTGTACATCTAGAAGCAATAAGAGGAGAGGGAGGCAGGTTCTAGGGAAGGTCATCTGTCTCTTGCAAGAGATTTCAAGGGAGGCTATACCAGGTTATTTAGGCGAGGGTGACTAACCTCAGACAGAGAAAAAGGTATGCTTCCATTGGCAAAAAAACCCCAAAAAACCAACGATATCAGATTTGGGGTTTAAAGTTTCTAGCTTCACCAAAATATTTCATAAGTCTCTGTCCCAAATTTTAGGGCCACACTTTTGTTTTTAATGTGTCCTAGCTTTAATATAAGAGACTCCATAAGATTGGGAATTTAATTTGAGTGGTAATTCAGCCACTGTCAGGATTAGAATTTTGTTCAATTGCTAGAAGTGTTGGCCCTACAATGATAGGGAAGGATTTCTTTTGAGCTGTCATTCAACTTCACATCCTTTTTGCAGATCTTTAGCTGGGAATAAAGCCCTTAACTCATTATTTTCTCCAAGTTCTCCAATGCACTTGGAAGCAAGCAAGCAGCCCTTTTATACTCTCCCTTTTCATAAAAATGATCTGTAGAAGAAAACTGAAGGCCAAGAGTATGAGCTGGAACCCAGGAGGATGGACTGGACCCTGTGTTGGTCTCTGTATTAGTCAGCTCCAGCTGCCATAACAAAATACCACAGACCACAGGCTTTGGAAAACAGGAATTTATTTTCTCACATGTCTGGAGACTGGAAAGTTCAAGAACAAAGTCCACCAGTTTCTGGTGAGAACTCCCTTTCTGGCTTGCAGAGACCTGACTTCTTGCTGTGTCCTCATATAGTGGGGTGGGGGAGATGTAGAGAGAGATCTGGTGTCTCCTCTCATAAAGACACTAATCCTATCAGGTTATGCCTTGTTTAACCCTAATTACCTCTTCATAGGCCTTGGGGTTAGGGCTTCAGTGTGTGCATTTGTAAGGAGACAATTCAGCCCATAGCAGTCTTATATCATCTTCAACTTTCCACCATCAATGATGTAGGCCCCACGCAGGAGAAGCCAGGGTCTTTGTCACAAGAGCAGACACATATGCGGCCCCAGGCGTTGCAGAAGATAAAGAAGGATCCAGCGGAGGCAGAGTGGCCGTTGGCCCACCACTGTCCTGCACCAACAGGGGAACTAACAGACAGTGACAAGGTCCATGACTTGCAACAGCACCTGGTACCCCTGCAGTGACATTCCAAGTGTAAAAACAATATAGCTGCAGCTTCACTTCTACTTTCCAAATCTCATGCGAAATCTTTTTGTGGGCCACACTCCGAACTGTGTAGAGAAGGGAAATGTAGTTTCAGTGTGTCAAAGCTTACATGGCAGGGAGAAACCAGTTCATCTAACACCTTTAGGCCATGAAAGAAAAGAATGTCAAGTCACTGATGGAGTCACATGATCTGCTAGATGTTGTTAAAAGACCTGTCTTGTAGAAAATGGAGAGCGGCAGAGCAGGAGTGGAGAAGGGGCCAGCTAGAGTGTACTGTGTGAGGCAGGGATGGCCTTGCCTAGGACGGGAGTAGTGGAAATGAAGAGTTCTATTTTGGTAGATTGAATGTGGGGACTTTGAGTGAATGAGAAGTTAGCAATGAATCTCAGGGTTTCAGCTGGAGTGACTGGATGAATGGCAGTACAATTAATATATGAATGGGTGGGAAGGA